TTCAGAGACGTCACTAAAACCCTCGACAACCGTGCCACTTACATCACCAAAGACCAGACGGAACTACGGGGCGTTGACACTTATATTTACCAACTTTTCGGAGTACCAGACTAAGTCCTTAATGGATAAGCAGCAGGATGATTTAAACAGTGGTATGTACTCTGTACTAGATTTGGAGTCCAGAGCACGCTGACCAGTTTATTGCGTATCACTCGATATATAAACTTTGATACACTACGAGGGGCCCTGGATAATGCAAGAACGGTTGAAATCCACAGATGATGTCGTGATGGTGCTTTTGTCGGTGCTTACTGACTGAAGACAGTGGGCTACACTTATTTCCGGATGTTCAATAGAGCGAATGACAGCGGGACGAAATTATTTCAAACAACTACAAAACAGATGTGGCGACAGAGTGTCCGAACTACCGGTATCTATCAACGAGGAAGCCTATGCTAATATCGTGGAAGGATGGCGGTATATCCGTGAACAACTCTATGCTGACGAGTCACCACTCCTGACTCTCCCACTCGAGTCACCTTACTATAACGGCAGTGGTCTGAGGATACTGAAACTCATGCTCAAGTTAATACAGATAGCAGTGAACTTACAGATAGCGGTGAATTTACAGAACTTACAGAACCTGTGAGGCACACTTCCTTTGGAAGTACGACCAAAGACAGCAGTTAGAGAATTACAGCAACTAGCTGTTCTCGGGGAAACAGCAAGACCCGCGACCCAGTATAATCATAACGGCGATTTAAGAAACTGTGCGCTAAGATCAGTAGCTATCGAGAAAGCTACCGTTGAACTACATACTGCGTGTGTAGTAGAGACCAAAATTACCAAGTTTTATCAAAACAAATAAAAAACGATTAGATGCCGGTCTCTCATCTGTCGGCACGAATTTGTCTTCTTCATATGCTCCCCAGCAACAGCACTTGACACCCAAGCAGCTTTCATGTACGTAGACAAATGTCCGAGTCCCTTTTCTTAAACTTTCCGAACTTCAAGTTGGTAAAGGATTAAGGTACTGTGACCTGCTCGCTATAACGGAGCACTGATTAAGCCTTGGCATGAATGGCAGTGGGGTAGCACTGCCATGCATGTCCGTTGTTCGACCAGATCGATCCAGTAAAGAGGACGACTAGCTCTTTACTTCTGCAGTGACCTCCAGTAATAGCCAATAGAGGATCTGGGTAACACGGTATAGGTTTCATTTTCGTGCCGTCTAGGTTTAGAAGACCGCCACGCTTGTTTGATGACGGTCGTTTACCGATCTCACTCCACTGCCGAGATGGACTTCTATCTAACATCAGCACAAAGTTGGGTGAGAAATAAGAAGTACAGTGAGATGCTTATTACCGGCAATTTCAACATCTACCCCCTGAAATCCAAAGCAGCTTGTGAAGAATAGTTAAAGGCGTATCTACAAGAGGTTTTCTCCAGTTTCACCTTGTACTACCACATCGACATTCTCACCACGTTCATAGAAACGGATAGGCCGTCAATACTGGATCGGATACTCACCACCGTAGAACTGATGATTGAGAGGGTGATCGTCGTCCTCCAGTTGGGCCGCAGTGATCATCTAAACTTACTCTCTGAATACAAGTGTTTTTCAGAATATATTGTAGAGATTGCCGACGCAACGGGAACGATTATATACCAGGATATATTATCTCAACGAGGTGAGACAACAAGTTGCATGGAACGGTTCATCAGCCAGTTTAACAACCTGATTTCTGAACCATCGGCGACTAAGACTGTTCTTTCGAGAAAAGTTGTGTGGTTTGTGCGCAGCGGGACACGCAAGTGTAAGGTGGTGCAAAACCCGGCGTGGCATATCTATAATCTCTCTCCGAGCACCGGCACCTATGTGACCTATACGACCCAACGTTACTGTACTCAGTTTTCTCGAGGGGATAAAGTGGCATAACAGCAAAAGTTGGCAACGCATTTGGACTAAAAGTACGCTCTTCTGTGTCAACAAGTAAACAGTCTAAGTAAAGTGAAACGGGTAACCCTGGCTCTTCAAACAGTAGATGAAATCATACGGACTCCGAAGGATGTGGCGAATACTATGCGCCTACAAAATTTATGTACGCTCACTGGCCACCTAACCATATGACAAAGGCTGTCTCACCTCGGAAACTCGCTTACGTATCATTCACGACTGAAGCTATGCTAAAAAGCTGTTTAGTATATGTAAGTACAGGTTTCCTGGACTTCGTACCATACACCCGAGATCGCTAGCTGCGGTTAGAAAGCGATTAGCCGAGCCTTTAGTACGATGGATTCAACATCGTTTTGACGAACGGAATGTCCCGATATAAGGAAACAAGGGATGATTAATAATGTTTACAATGGAGGTAGTCGTTCCGATCCAGCCAACTTCTGTCCACTAATCTTACTGCCGGAACTTCCAAAGGTAATGGAAACTACTATTTCTCATGCGCTAAAGGCTTGTTTAGAAGCATTTGACAAACTTGCACTGGAACAGTATGGCTTCCTCCAAAACCAAACTAAAAATCTAGTGCTAGCGCGACCCAGCTGCCCCGAAGCAGTAGACACAGGCCCGGGTTGATGTGGTATTTCTCGAATTCTCAAAGTCATTCGATCGGTTATGCCATAACATTCTACTCTCTTAACTTCGGACTTTTGTTGTTGATGATCCACTCCTAAGGTGGACTAGAAGGTTTCTTCAACACCATCGCTTGGAAGTGCAAGTGCATAATTCTGTGCCAGTTTTCATCCAAGATAATTGTGGCGTACCACAGGGATGTGTAGTAGAACCGCAATTTTCTGACGTATATCAACGATAGCACACGCCTCAAAGCTCGAACTGCTTGCTTAATGCCGATATAGTGCTGGTGTGGAGGGCGATCCATAAATACTTCCAAATGACCCTGGTAGAGTTTACGCGTTGTCAACCCAAAATGCACTACGATTCGAAGTGGACAGATGTAGAGCGATTCACTTACAGAACCAGGTGGTACGCTCTTACTAACTCGGCAACCATGGGTTTCACACGTCATTTGGCGAAAAGAATCTGGGGTTCTGGTCCAGACCGACCCAGGATGGTCGAATCAGGATTAAAAGGCATCAAGGAGGGGCATCCAAAATGTGGATCACCAAAGGCGTGCATTCGGACGATTCGACCAATCAGTATTTTAACAGCTTCTCGGCTCATACATACGTCCACATGTGGAATACGCAATACAGGTCTGGCAGCCAAGGTTGGGGAGAGATCTTCTCACCTCGGGGATGCCCCAGCGCCATGCAACCAAGAATGTTAATGAGTTGTATAATTCGCCGTATGAATAAAGGCTCTGCGTGCACGCGGTGTTCAGCAGACAATACTTGCGAATGCGGGGAGATCTCCTTTTGATTTACCAGAGGTTCTGTGATCCCAACCACACGTGACACCGTTTGTTCGAGCTCATTCACAACCGCATTTTGAGAAACCACAATCTGAAGCTGGCAGAGCAGTACAGATGTCTGGAATGTGGTCGGAATTTCTTTTCCGTACACATTTGCAAAACGTGGAATATCTTAGCGGAATCCGTCATCTGTGCTTCGACACTGTTGGAGTTCAAATCCCGAGTCGACCGTGCACTCAATTCTTTCCAGCATCTCACTGCAGCTGGTTAGAGTTCGAAGTGCGTTATACGATCAAACTCATGTCGAATGTGATGTTCAACAAAGATCACTAATGTGGCAGCGTCAGTTTCGCATGTTCGCTAATGAGCTTGCTCATTTGATTGCTTCCGATTGCTTGTAGTTCGCTGATGATGTCAAAATGTTTCTGCCGACCAAGGCGATTACGATGCACTTCAGCGAAACACGGAGAGGGCATATGAATAGTCATTCCTCAATCTGCTCCAGTTAAATTCGTCTAAGTTTGAGGTGATTCACATTCGTCATCAACCGGACAACATATACAAGCTTGCAGATCATGCCCTGCAAGTAGTTACCCTAGGGCGCGACATTCGGGTATTAATCCAATTGACCTGGGCTGCTCAGAGCAACCTGACCTAGTGTCAAAGACTGAGAACCAACACGTTAAATTGTTGAGGTGAGTATTCGGGTGGTTTGATCCGTTTGGTTATTCCTAATTGCTGAACACATACGTGAGCTTCAACTGGAATACGCAAGATCCTGCAGCGCCCCAGGATACACAGCGCAGAGCCATAAAGCAGGTCAAATAGTTGTTTTTACCTTACATAGCAATTTAAGCTGTGTATTCTAAAGTTGTACAGTAGTCAATATGGGGGCCTATGTGGCGAACTGTTAATGACCTACCAGATTTTAAGCAAGTCCAATACGGTCTGCCGCCACCTACTGAAACTCATTCAAAACGCGAAGTTGAGTGGCCCACAATTTGATTTGGCCCCGCATTAGTTTGCAAGAATGCCGGCGAAACCTTTACCCTTTTTACCTGCTAGCCATGGAATGCTCACCCTACGATTACGTTGTTTGTGCCCTAATATATCTACGTAGAGAAAATACCTTAACATTGCCATAACTCCCCAACACTCTACGATGTAAGGAGAAATAACATGAAGGACGTTGGACAACCAACGTTAACCTACACAAAGTTGGCTTTTTTCTGTGTGCCTCTGCAAAAATTATAGTGAGTCCAACATAATGGTTCTTATTTTTTCACTTCGTTTTGTTTGCACCAGTTTGTGCTTCTCATACTGGTCATCTTAAGCATTTGCGTTTTCCTCACAAGTAGTGCACCACCGTTCCATATTTTTATCAAGATTTTTAATAACGCGATTGTTTTGACAGGGAAACTGCTCCATAAGCAATCTAAAAATAGGTACTTTAACTCCCAAACTTGATAAAGGAAAATTGACTAATCTACTTACAAAAACTGCGTTGCTGTGATTTCTGAATTGCGAAATTCGAATAGTATTTGACCAAATTATTTTTGAACGAAGTATGATGACCGAAATAGAATAGAATCGGTGCGCAGGGTATAAACAACGTACTTGTTACAGATTGTGGTTCAATTGGCCTTTCGTAGAACAGCTTGGATTTTGTTGTTAGGCCTGGAATGCTAGGTCTTTTTGTGAAGTCATAAACCGCAACTGGCGAATTAAAACGCGAAACGCTGCCACCGGTGCGGTTAAAGTTGATGGTTTCCAGTCCTCTATGGGAGTTGATTTTCGGGCTCAAAGTTGTAACAACCCAAGGGTCAGTGCCCGAAGTGGACAAAAAACTTTGACACATCTGCTCAGACTCCGTGGCACGGTGGAAAGCGCCTAAACAAGTATCACTGAACTGGTTGCAATTTCCCGTGTGTAGGTCGTCAATATTCCCAGAATCCCTGAAAACTTCCTCCAGATGATGGGTTCGATTGAGTGTACGTCGACAATCATTCTGTAATGCTGAACTATAGTGTGGGAATCCCCTTAGTGGACAAACACCGCAGCGAAGAAATAATATTGCCATAATAAGCACGAGAGATATGATCAGTGTGATGGCTACCATGATCACAATTACAATCAGGTCATTCTCGACTTGCCCACTCTGGCCATTAGTATGTCCCCTGTGAATGCTTTTTTCTCCTCCACTTCCAACGGGTTCCAGTTCTCCAAAATGGTCAAGGGAAGAGGCACTTGTGTGAGTTAGATATCTTAACACGTTCACTTGTAGAATACGATGATTCACTTTAGGCGGACGGCCTTGGTCACTGGCCTCCACAACCAGCTTGGCTGTTCCTACGTCATCCAGACCCATTGAACGTCCGATATATAATGAACCACTGATTGGGTCAAGTTCAAAAAGATCTTTAATATTTTGCCGCATGAAGCCCGGGTTCACAGTTCGTGCATCGTCCAAAGCGTTGGCAAGTAAGCCAGCTGAAACTGGTATGGGATTGTTATGAAAAGAGGCATCTGTGATGGTAATTTTACTGCTCTGCACCAACCGATATTGAACCTCTCCATATTCGCCGTCGTCCGGATCCACGGCCTTTAGCTGAGCCAACCGGTAACCTACTGGTTCGCTAACCGTCACATTTATAATTTGGTTGTTATGTGTTGGGAATAACCACGTTGGAGCATTGTCATTGACGTCCATCAAATATACATGAACTTGAGTAGACGAGGACAAAGGTGGGATGCCTGAATCAATTGCAACTAGGAAGAAACTGTAACTAGAAACTTTTTCTCGATCCAAATTTCCACGGGAGACATAAATGTAGCCTTGTGGAGAGACGCGGAATTCTTGGACATCCGAACTCCCAGTTTGGGGTCTGAGTTTGTAATGTATCTGAAACAAGAAGTGCATAAATCTCAAACGTTTATTTTGTTGTCTCGACTGGTACTTGCCAAATAAGGTGAGGGTGATAAGTACAGTTAAAAACTGCGAAACTGCACTGTGCTGGGTAACCCCAGATTGTGATCACACTGGCAGGTATTCATTGAGAATATTTGTCACTGTGGATGTGGATGATGAGCTAGTGCATTCACTGAGCTCTTGGCCTTGGCTTCGTATGTCTTGTTGGCATCATCCGCGCAAATGCAGATTAGAGTACAAAAGCATTAAGTCTAGCTTCGCATTCACTTGAGCCTACTAATTAATTGATACTACTAATTCATAGAATTATCAAGGTACAACAGAGTACAATGCCATATAAACGCTGATTCTATTCATATACAGAGTAAACATGCCGATTCAGGGGGTGAAAGCATCCTACGTTTTACCTTCTTTTGTTCCACTTTTCGAAACATACCATTGCTTGTACCTTATACAAACTATGCTAGTTGCCCCAATGCTGGTTCACTTATTACACACAAAGGATATAAAAAATCAAAGTTGATTTTTTCAGGTTGTATGCAACAGCAGTATGGGACAAAAGAGAACGATAGAGTATTTAACTGTTCAATCCAATCGGAATGCTTGTGGCAGTTTATCATATCACCGAAAAGACGCAGCACATTCTTGTATAAATTCTTCAGAAGAAGGGAATCAATGTAGGGACCACATAAATAGTGAAAAACTTTGAAAAGTGGCCAGCAAAGACTTATCACGTGGTTGACCAGTTATTTGTCAGACAATGATCCAACAATTTTTTCGGTGGAGTTAAATATTTGACAAACATAATTGAATTTCCCACCCGTCGACCCAATCAGTCACATGCTGCGTGCTACTTTGTAGAATAAAGAGAAATGGGTGCAAAACGCTGCTACACAACCCCATCTGTTGGAGGACGCTGAGTTGTCAGCTGAAGCAATCACAGATCATATGTGCTCATTGCCAAGCGTGATATAGATTGGAAGTGTGGATAGACACAGTGGAGATAGTTTATAGCCACCTAGCGTGTGCGCTTTGACGGACTTCCGAGGGTGGGATCAAGATAAGGCAAATTTACGCGCAAAATTTATTGACGGCATCAAGAAATTATGCGCGGGTGTGCATGTATGTGTATAGCAGTGCGCAGCGGTTTTGTTACCTGCCACACCAAGTAGGAGATAAGAGTATCACTCTCTAAAGTTTAAAGATGATTTCTGGTCGTACTTTTTCCTTCCGCAGGCATCAACCTTAATTTCGGAAAAAAAACTGGTCAGGCCGTATTGATTTACGAGATGAACCAACGTAGCTCACCCCAGTTGACACTGTAACCGCTAAACAGACCATTAAGTTTAAAGAAAATACTTTTCGAAATCTAAACTTAGTAGATTGCCAACAGAATTTTCTCGTACACCATGTCACAAATGTAAGCGCCATGAAAATGTAAGTAGCCCATCGCAGTGCACACTACTCATTAACTTCAAACAAAGTTCCGTAGCCAAAATCGCATTTACGCCTGTTTGCACGTAAAAAGATGTCACATAAATATTGTCATGATCAACTCGTCGATTTTAGCCTAATTTCTGTCCGACATCCCACCTGGGTGACTCTTCGGCCCAAGAGAACCAAGTAACGTTCATCACCGTTGGAGATGGTTGACCGTATCTTAGTATTCTGACAAACATCCCAACCTACTCAGATAAGATGCTACGTCCCTCGTCATGACTTAACTACAGCTAACTATAGCGTCCAAGTTGCTTATGTCATGAGATGTACATACTGTGGTTCCTGGACCTAACGACGAATAGGCATACTTATCCTAACATGTTAACCTTGCCTAGTTTGACTGACATAAATACTGTGCTTAGATTCTTCTCAGAATGCATTACATTCAGCAGCAGTCGTGAAATAAGTGATCCAAAGGCAATGTAATCAAATACCACCTTTGCTTTCACAAGGTCGCCCTCTTTTGAAATAAATTCAATTATTATCATTCCTGGATTATTTTACGCTACTAAACGAACTGATCGCGATTGCGGGTTTATTCAGATCAGGTACTGTTCATCGCATAACTAAAAACAGGATCTCGGCGACCTCGGCGGAACTTCTCGACTATCGGCGATCTATACCCGTCAGTGTAGAGCAAGCTGAGCTGCGCGGTTTTATTTCCAGACAACTGAAATGGGGTCTTCATGGTGATCGTGAATCCTGGTGATCTAAACAGGCCAAGGAAATGCAAGTTACTGTTACTGCTGGTAACAACTGCAGGTTGTTTTATCTCATCAGACCCGCAGGACACAAATTTCAGGCTAACAGTCAGCATCTGTGAGTCGGACGGTACAAAGTTCACCAACCTAAGTAAACGTCTGGATCGCTGGGAAAAGCACTTCACTCTCCATTTTGATTGTCCAACACAACCTCCGGCTACACGTCCACTGCCATCATGTGATCCCAAGGCCATCTGCACAAAACCCCCCACTAAAGCAGAAATACGGATAGAAACTCATACTGAAACGCCACATAGATCCTGGCCTTTACAGTCTTCCTCTGGCCTTATTCAAACATGGGGGGAACATAGTTGTCACCGAAATTTTATCATTGTTCACAGAAGTAGGGTGCGATGCGATGGTTCCTAACGCATGGGGCGAATCTGTTATGGTTCCGATCCACAAGAAGGGCTCTCGTAGCGAATGCATCAACTACCGAGGAATTTCACTTATCCCTGTCGCGTCCAAGCTTTTTGTGTTCATTTTGCTGCGTAGGCTCTCAGTTACCCGGGATAGTTTGTATCGTGAGGAACAGGCTGGATTCGTTCTGACTGTGGTTGCATTGACCAAATTCTCACGTTGCATCAAATTCTCGAATATCGTCATGTCCACCGAAGACCAATAATGGTGCTATTTTTGTATATCCGAGCCGCTTTTGACTCAGTGGATAGGTGGTCACTGTGGCACTGTCTACTACGGAACAGCGTTCCCGAGTACTCTTGAAAGAGCTGTATAGCCACACATCTGTCAAAGTTAAAGCTTCTGGCAGGCTTTTTTCCTCGTTTCCTGCTACCACTGGAGTGCGCCAAGATTGTGCTATCTTGCCGTTGCTGTTCAACTTTGCCATCGAAGATGTTTTACATCGTGCATTGGAGGCAACCCAGAGCTGCGGCGTTGAGCTTCTGCCCGGGGGCAAAGTCGTGGACGTGAAATATGCTGATGACATTACTTTGTTGGGGGACGAGTCGCAGGATGTTCAAAACATTCTGAACCGCTTAACGACAGGAGCATCTAAGTGTGGACTGTATATTGTTTTATCCAAGTTTAAAGCTTTGCTCCAGCATTGACAAGCGCCTGTGCTTACGCCCACCTTTTCGGGTGTCAGCCCAGAGCTCGTTAGCATCATTACTTACCTCGGGAGTTGCATTACGGCTGGTGGTGGTATTGGCGATGAACTTCACAACGAATTGCCGATGCTCGTCTTGCATTTAATAACATGTGACACTTGTGGTGTCCTCGCGATGTCAGTCTGAAGCTCGAAGGCCGGGTGTATAATGCCACAGTTCGTGCCGTCCTACTCTACGGCAGCGAGACCTGGTCTGTTCGATCGGAAGATTTGAGACGACTATCAACTTTCGACAACCGCTGTTTGCGTTTGATTGCTCGCGTATGGTGGCAGCAGAATGTGAGCAACGCGGAATTCAGCAGCTGAGTAATGGGAGCAGAGTGTTCTTGTATCCAGAGCATAATCACCCAGCACCGCTTGTGTTGGCTGGGTCACTCACTGCGCACGTCGGCCCATCACCTTCCACGTCGCGGATTATTTGCACTTCCTGAACGCAAATAAAAAAGAGCCGCGGCGAATAACCGATGACCTGGAAAAGTGTCATGAAGATTCTAACTTCGTGCTTAGCTTCAGTTGTATCCTTGCGCCTTCCAGGCTGGGGACCACATGAAGCGGATTCCGCATTGCTTGAAAGTCTTAGAGCATATGACCTGCAATTTAACTCAATGGCGTGAATGCTGTTCTTCCATCTCTTCATTATGTAATGTTTAATTTTAAGCAAAACATGCAAAGAAATAGAGTTCAAAACGGCGCGTGTGAAGCAGAAAAAACATTTTTTCTAACATTTTACTTTCTATCATCGTTGAACATCATTCTCCTTTCCCTACCCCCAAGGATGGCACATTTTTCTGTTTATAGACATTTGAATATATATATATATATATATATATATATATACCTGGTTAGAATTTCACTCGGCGGATCCAAATGTAAAATTTGCAGAGGCCCGGAATTAAATAAGGCCAGGCCCTAACAAAGGTCGCACAAGCCATGATTCGTGGGAGATTTTTACTTGGAAGGCGCGGTAGTTTAGGGTTTAACGCAGGGTTTTGCAAGGATCAGCAATTGAAAGTTTTTACTGAGGACATCAGCAAGGGAAGAACTACGTGCCCATTATAAACTAGGTGACGTTATTTTCATCTACCGGAGGGTCTGGCACAGCTGCTGATTGACGGATAACTCTAAAGATAATGGGGGCAACCATCACTGCAGTTATTCTTGAAAGTTTAAGTAATGTTTAGAAACAAATGTCAGCGAACAAGCTCAGTTTCCGTGCTTCATCATTACTAACACGAAGGAATGACATAAAGATAAACAGAATATAATGTATAAGTTCAAATTCTAAAATGTTCTGGGTGACCAAGCCAGGTTTTTGGTTCTACAGCGATCAAGTGTGTGCGGCCTTAGCTGCACCATGTGTCAGCTTTACAGCCGGCCAGGAAAGAGTGAGTACCCATGCACATAGATCAGGGTCATGAAGCCGAATGGCGATCACTTCGGTAGCCGCCAGTAGGCGACATCCCACCGCTCGTGTGTGACATTTGTTTACGTGGTATATAAAATGGAATGCTTCGTGCGCTTTGAAATGAAGGTCCGAATCAACCAGCTTGGCAATAATTGCGCTTGTCACTGCACTAGACTTTCCG